TTCCCATGTAATGATACTTATACAAACTGTATTTGCTAGACGATTGCTTTGAAGTACTTCTAATTGTATTCTTCAACGAAATCTGTTGAAAATCATGCACGTAAATTCTCATCTTTATGTGATCATTCATTCATCTATTATACTCGCTGGTCTCTTCTTTCTCATTTTTCTTTTCTTTCTTTCGGCCCTTACCATTTTCAAACCTTATAAATTGAATAAAGGAATACTTTTTAAAAGTGCTTAAGTCTTAACTTGGGAATTTTAGTTGGGTCAAACTTCAAATTGAGGAAGTATGATTTGAGGTGGCATACAAATAATAGTGTCATTGTTAAGCTTTGTTGGCTCACACACTACTACTATAAGTTGTAATCGTTATGAGGGTCGATTCATTACATTCTTTTTAACAAATATTCATATTTATGTCATGAAAATTTCGTACTTTTATTTCTATTATTTATGGACAATGATAATTTAGTTCGAAATAATGTAAATCAATTAAAAAAATTATAGTTATCGAATCGTAAAACTCGTTCGATAGCTTCATTAGGGCGTGTTTGTTTATTAAAATTTCAATGCATGCTCAATTTATATTCAAAATTTAACTCAATATTAATTCAATATTATTAATATAATTAAATAATAAAAATTAATCATTGTTACACATCACGTCATAACGAAACAACTTCGTTTGTAGTAAACAAAACGACACCGTATGAACTTCTTCATTCTCCTACATGTTGCGGCATGATCTTCAACATTATATCATTATTAATTATTATATAATGCGCCTGACAATCAGCATGTGAATCGAATAATTATTAATTAAGACGATGTGAGATCTGACAAAAAATTAACGAATAATTAAAAATGTCTGCTGTTATTTGGGGCAAAAAGCCTGATTGTTTAGAGTCCACATGTCATTAGATTAGCGGTCATGGAATCGTCATGATTTGATGTCATGATGATGCACCCATGACGAAATTGGAAAATAGGCCAAACTGGGCCTGTTTAACGTACATTTATTTTCGAAGAGTTTTGGGTGATTTGACCGTGGATTATTAGATTCATATATTTGTGCTATATATACCCAAATTTTCGACATATCTACTAAAGTAGGCCCAGGATCATAAAAGCCCAATTATGATTTTCAAAACCCAATAAAAACACAAAAGCCCATCTCCTCAACTAAACCCTGACCTCCGCCTCTGCACAGCCTTTCCCCCACCGTGCAGGAGCTGCAGCCGATCAGGTTCGAATCCAAACGAATTGCTTTACTTTTACATCATCTGATATTTTACATGGTGGGTTTTTTTTTTTCTTTTTCTTTTCTCAAAATGATTACCAGCCACATTTTATGTGAATGTGTTCAGCTGTTACTGTTTTGGGTTTGTACTTTTTATGTAATTGGGATAATATATTCGACGTAAATGGAGAAATGTGTGTTCCTGTGAGCTATTACGAGCTCAGCGTGCTTTTAATTGAGCTTAACTGAGATATGAGATGCTTTCTAATCCATTTAGATAGCTAAGTTATGTATCTGATTCTATCTATGGTTATGACTGTATTTAAGCTGTTATTTGGCTATTTTGAGCCGCTTTTATATGTTTTTACTGAGATATGCATTTTGTGGGCTGTCTAAATCAAAATTTCTTGGGTGCGCTTACGGGATTTGTTAAGAAATGATTATGGGCCTCTGGCTGAAAAATGAAAAATATAAAATATGGGTGTTCTTTATTTTGTTAATGTATTGTGAATCACCTTATTTGGGTTTGCTGAAAGATTGCATTTTTCACTTTGAAGTGGAGACTCCTTTTTCTTTTGTTTTTTCCTGTTTTTTGTATCCTTCCCGTAAGTGTTTTAAGAATTGTGGTAGGTGGAATTAAGATTAATTTGTGAATTTCTGAAGTAATCTGAATCGAGTCTTGTGTTTTTGCATATGATTTGGCAGCAACAAATAAATCCCATGAAATTAATTATATCATACTCGTCACCTCGAAGAATCGCCTAGTTTACCAAACACTTTATTTGGGATCAATTGTACCCATGAGAATTAGGGTTCTCAGCTCTCAGGCTCTCCTCTTTCATTTTCCCCTGAAGTACCCTAACCAGCGCGAATTGAACACAATCACAGAGCAGACAAACTTCTAAAGCCCCTGTATTCGAAAATACGGAGGGACTGAGAGAAGGTTTGCAGTTGTACGATTGTATCATATATGATACTTTGATCTATGTACAATTCGTTTTTTCTTTTTTTTTTTTTTTGGTATAAAACCGAAATTGAAGATTCTGTTTTACATTTCAATATTACCGAAAAGTTTAGGTTGGTTTGGTAAACCCGTATTCGGTTCGGTTACCGAACCCAACCCTACTTGGGTCTCCGTATTTATTTCTGTATTCACTCACTGAGCAAATATGGTGCTTATGGTCAAATTTTATGTGTACTAGATTTTAGCTGGAAAGTAAAGTATAATGAATGAGTAGAATTGGAATCTGATGTTAGGTGGTGAATAATACTGTTGGTAGTGGTGTCCTCTTGCTCTCTGGATGATTTTCTTGGTCATCTTTGAGCTCTTGACGTATATTCTTACATGTACTTGTTATGGTTGGTCTCTCTCTTGGGGAGCAAAATTTTATAAAGGGTGGAATTCGCAGGATTTGCGTACTGATGGTCGTAAGCGATTAACTTACCGGCCCATCTCTGTAGAAACTGGTGTCATTCCTCAGGTATTATAATAAACGGCTCACTTACTTAGCATCTGGTAGATTTTATGCTTATTAATCTATATTAATATATTCTTGTGATGAATTCGAAAAGGCAAGTGGCTCAGCAGGAGTGAAGCTTGGGGCAACAGACGTTATTGCAAGTGTGAAAGTATTGTCTTTCTCCGTCACACAATAAATGTGCATCTTGCTTTGAGATTTGGCTGGGTTGCATTTGTTTTTCTTGGTAATTTGGGAACAGTTTCTTTTTGTCATGTAACATTCTTTGGATTTTTCTGAACTCGGACCAACATTTTATGTATTTCCCTTGCAGGCTGAGCTTAGTAAGCCAAGTGCATCTCATCCTGATAAGGGGAAGGTTTATATATATGTAGGTTGCAGCCCGACGGCTGAGCCAACTTTTGAGGTTGGATAAGCTTTGGTTTCGTTGTGCAAATGAATTTGTGATTTGTAGATAGATTTATTAGTTGAATTTACGTAAAATACTGGATTTGGCTGAGCAGGATGGCAAACTATGAATTGTTGTCAGTTTTTTAGGGAATTTTATTTGAAAACTTTTCTTTAGTCGATAGGTGTTAACAACTATGGAAGTCGTGATTGGTTATTAAAATAATAATAATAATAAAAAAAAAATCTTGAAGGATATGGGTAGGGCAGATGGTTTTGTCGCTTAGCTGAAGAACATGAACCACTTGATAGCTAGTTCTTAGTCATACTTAGATATAAAGTATAAACTCATAAGCCAAAAATGAACAATCTTTGTTGACTTACTTGAATCTTGAAGTATGTTTCATTTTCCCAACGACATTTCGGTGCTCTACCAAATATCTCCTACCCTTTTTCCATCGAATAAATGAGTTCCAATTATCTAAATATTACCTTTGTTATCCATTTTTTTTTTTTTTTGGGGTCACAAGTTATCTTGATCTTTCAATCACAGGGCAGAGGGGGTGAGGAATTAGCTACTGAGCTCTCAACCGCACTTCAACATTGTCTTTTGGGAGGGTAAAAGTGGGGAAGCTATGAGTGCAAAACAACTTGATGCTTAGTTAAGTTGCACGTTACGTCATTATATTCCATGATGCCCGATATTTTTGTTGTATGTGATTTTTGCTTGCAGGAGCTGGGATTGATCTCTCATCTCTATCCATTGTTGAAGGAAAGATCTGTTGGGATTTGTATATACACAGTCTCGTTGTCAGCTCAGATGGTAATATACTCGATGCCCTGGGAGCAGCCATCAAGGTATCGTGTTTTACTTCTTATGTTTGCATTTACTGAATTCAATAGATTATTAATATATACTGCGTCGTACATGTATTATGTATATATCTCAAATTTCTACAAGTATCGCAGGAAATATTCCCATTAGGTCTGTTTTTTTCTTTTTTTTTTTTGTTGTTATTCTTTATTGTTTCTTTTTCTAGGCAGCCCTAAGCAATACCGTTATTCTAAAAGTCCAAGTTGCTGTTAATGCCCCTTCTGACGAGCAACCGGAGGTTGATTTGAGTGACGAGGAATTTCTACAATTTGACACATCTGGGGTTCCTGTTGTAACTACTTTAACCAAGGCAAGACAATTTTCCCTCCAATTTTTTTTTATTATATATATATTTTATTTTACTTTACTTTATTTTATTTAATTATTTTTTTTTTACATGTGACTTTTACATGTATAATCAACTATTAAATATTGTAGGTTGGGAGGCATTACATTGTAGATGCAACTACAGAGGAGGAATCCCAAATGAGTTTGGCTATCTCGGTTTCTATAAATAGGCAAGGACAGATACTGGACATGATATCTGTTGCTAAACATGTGAGTGAGCAGTTGATGAACAAATTGGATTCGGAAATAGCTGCAGCCGAGGCCTACGATGAGGGTGATGATAACATGGAGTCTTAAATAGATTGACCCTTTTAGTTTTTATTTTTGTTTTGCCTTTTTCTGTACATTTTAATGGAATATGTGGTGTTCTGTGCATTCTGTTCTGGATATGGGTAGTTAAAAGTTTTGTTCAAAATTTCTTATCTTGGAAATTTAAGGATGTGTTCATTGGGATTTTAGGTTCAATTTTCATGTTGCAGCTTTGATGAAGAGATACTTCATATATCACGATTGTTGGATAAAAATGTGGATAAATGGTCTCAAGCTGATAGGTTGTCACTGAACCTTAACTAAATCATATAAAGTTCAAGTGTATGCCGTTGCATTTTCATTTTTGTGTTATTTATTATACAATATATTGAATTGCATGAAATTACAAAATAATGCTGCAGTACCACTATAAAGAGGAGCAGTGGAGAGCAAGAAGATGAAAAGCCTGAGAAAGAGAGATTCACTGTGAAGGAGAAAACATTGTCAATAAAAAACAATGAACAGAATAAGAAAACAAATTGCATAGGTAATATTACTCCAAATATGTTTCCTTCCCACACAACTCAACCTCAGAAGGTCTATACAGATTCACATGCAAACTTAACCAATTTTATTTTTATGTGCAATGTCTAGACTTTCTCTTTCTACCATCCCCCGTTTTATTTTATTTTATTTAATTGTGCCATTTTTTTTGTCAATATTTTTTTTTAATTATTATTATTTATCTTCTAAACCTTTTCCATTCATTCTCGCCGTTTTCAATTCATTCTTGCCAAAATAATTGCAGTCGTTATATTTACTAATTCTATAAATTGGCCCTAGTTATGAGTCTTATGACTCATCTCATATTAATCAATCACACAAGCTTCACCACTTCTCATTTATTGATTTCTTATGTTAGGAAATTATTTTCTCAGATTCATACTGTATGCGAACATTGAGTGCAGTCATACATATACCAAACCTTTCAGGTGTCAAAACCAACCTGTCGTATAATAGTTTTGGTAATTTTCAAGATTAATAGTCAAAATCAAACATGTAATGTTTAAAAACGAATCACAAATTTATACTAAATAAGCTTACGAAGCAATGAAAATGTCATTTTGACTCATTGAATTGGAGAATTATATATAAGAGCGATTCTGTTTTCTAATCGTTTGGTATGGTTTCTCTCGTATCATACCATTCATTACCACCCGTAAGATTACGCTCATGACG